GGTCAGGCTTGGCCGTGGACGTGCACGTGGCCTTCTCCAGGTCCAGTGGCGGCCGGGTCAGACTTGGCCGTGGATGTGCGCGTGGCCTTCTCCGGGTCCAGTGGCGGCGGGTCAGGCTTGGCCGTGGGTTTGCTGCCACAGTGCCCACATCAGGGAGTCTGGGGGGCTTCTCTTCTGCCCCCCAGTGAGGGTGGAGCCCGGACCCCAGCCCTCTGTCAACCTTTATCTGGATCAGGCGGCTGATTATCGCCCCAGGTGCTTCCGGGTCTGCTCTCAGTGATCTTTGTTCCTGCTGCTCGTCTTCCTCCACGCTGGTGTCCTTGGTGTCCCGGCGGGTCAGTAGCAGGGCGTCCATCCCTTCGGCCCACCCAGCCTCGATGGTGCTGTATTAGGGCCTTTGTCCTGTCCCACCCATGTCTGTTTTCTCCCTCCGATCTCTTAGTAACCATCTGGAGACTCCCACCCCGCCGAGTTGCTGGTTCACAGAATTTCACCAAATCCCCTTTTCTTTCCTTTTGCTCCACCGTTGTTGTGCAGAGGACGCCAGCTTTGCTGGTTGGTATCATTAAAATATATTTTGCGAGCTGTAGAAGGCAAGCTGAGCAGAACAGGACCGGGGGTGGGTGGTGCGCATGGCCAGAGACCGACTGTCCCCCACCGCAGGACCCACGAGACTCGGGGCATCCTCGTCGGGGGGACAAGGTCTGCTGCTGCCCCCTGTGCCCTACTTTTGCTGCTCCATTAGGCGCACCAACATGCTTGCTCTCGGAGGTGTGCGTGTGCGTGCACGCGTGTGATTGGAAACACAAGGGGAGGACTGGGGTGGGTATTTGTTACATTGTCAATTTTTTGGCTGTCTGTGCCAGAATGGTCCTTCTGTTTTGGGGGGACCCCCCCTTTGTTCGTCCTGCTGGGGGCTTGGAATTTTTAGCAGAGGGTGCATAGCCTCAGGGACAGTAGGAGCACTTATCAGAGAGGGGGTTCGGGTGTCCAGGGGGAGCGCCTGGCTACTGGATTTCTACAGTGTCCTCCCGCACTCACACTGCAGGTCCTGCCTCGGGCCCTGCACCTGTGAGCACAGTGTCCCTGGAAGTGTGAGATTGCTGCCTGAGAGATGGAGGTTCCCAGTGGACCTCATGCAGCCACAGGGACCCTTGAAAGCAAAGCGCTCACCCGCCAGACGGAAGGGGCGGTTGGAAGGACGGGCGTGCCCTCTCTGCCTTGCAGGTGAAGTCCTCTCATGCAAAGGATGTGGTCTTAGGGAACAGAGGACCGTCCCCACTGATGGCCATCAAGGAGGGGCCCTCGGTGTTCCGCCAACAGCCTGGCCTCCTCCTCCCCCGTCCCTCCGCCACGTGGCAGAAAACACCTCACATTGTCCTTGTAAGGCTCGCGGTTGAGCCGACTGAGCCTCTGTGAGCACTCAGGTGGTGGGACGGGCGGTTCAAACGTGTCAGTCGTCCTAGAGCAGCCGAGGGCCCCCCGAGGGTCCACTTGCACCCGGGCGGCCGTGGAAAACATCTGCGTCAGTCGGGGACTGAAGCTTGGGGCTCCCTTGGGAGCGTCTGAAGAAGCTGGGCTCCTGGGGCTGGCAGCTGGGCACTCTGGGAAGCAGAGGGGATTGTGAGAATGTTCTAGAATGCACGGGGGCCGGGCAGGATGCCTGGGCAGGGAGGGGCCCAGAAGGCCAGGGCACAGGGGCTGGGGGTCTGGGTCTGGGTCCTCCCTGGGGCGCACTCATGAGGTCAGGTCTTGGTGGGGAGTGGGGTGAAGGGAGCGGGGTCCCTGTGGGGCTGTAAGAGTGTGTGCAACTCTCCGGCGGCCCCCCTCCAGTGGCCAGGGAGCCAGCCTGAGCACCCGGCCACCTCCGCCTGCTGCTGGCCTCTGCCCCTTGGGGGATGGGGTGCGTGGGGGCGGGGGGCAGGCCGGGGCCTACCTCCGGCTCAGGGTGTATTTGCCCTTGCGGTCCAGGCTGCTGCCAGAGCGAATGGCGAACCAGAGAAAGGAGCTGAGCAGCATCGCGTACACCTGGGAGGGAGGAGTTGTCAGCATCAGCGCCTGCGGCTCCCGGGCAGGGGCGCACGGCCGCCCTAGAGGCACTGGGCTCTGCGGGGCTCCCAGCGGTCTCGGGAAGGTGGTGAGGTACTGTCCCCTGCCAGGCTGCCTCCCTGGGGTCAGCAGCCTCCTCTCTGGCTCCCAGTGCACGGGGAGCCCTGCTGCTCCCCGAGGCCCCTGCTGTTCCATTGGGGTGGGGGATCCGCGGGTGGAGGGGTGGCAGCTGGGGAAGGGGTGCTGAGGGAGGGCGGGAGTACCATGGCGGCGAGGCCGATGCCGGTCAGGGTGGAGGCGATGTTTCTGTGCGTCCTCAGGAAGCTCCTGATCCCCACCAGGCAGTCCTGAGCAGAGGGCAGCTCGCGTGGCACCCACCCTGGCCGTCCCCTCCCTGCCCAGGGTGAGGACCTCTAGTGCCCACCTGGGCTGAGTGCTAGGGTGATGGGAAGTCAGTGGGGGCTGAGGTGGTGCGGCCTACCGCCCCAGAGCTCTGGGGGAAGGCATCACAAACAGGCGGAAAGCAGCGGAATGGAGTGGGCCTCCATGGGGACTGAAGGTCGCTGCCCCAGGGTCCAGCGCGTGCCTTTCTTAGGCACTCGCTGACCTGCCTGGGCTGGGTCACGGGTCTGGCTCCCCTGGGCAGGCCGGGTCTCCCTCACTCCCTGGCCCAGGTCGAGGGGAGGGCAGAGAAATAGCTGGTGGAGGGGCTGGGGTCCTGGGCTGCCCCAGCCTCCTGCTCTATCCCTGACCCCAGTGCCTCCCCAGGGCAGGGCATCCACAGAAGCTCTCTCTGGAGGAAAAGGGAGGTGACCGTCCCATCTCTGAACCACTCAGATGGTGGCATTTGATTCGCGGGAAGACGCTGGCATTTGGGGCAGGCCCAGTGGGATGTTCGGGATGCTCTTCTGAAGGCTGGGATGGGGAGGGACAGGAGGCTAGCTTGGCGTCTGTCTGTGCATCCATCTGTCCACCTGTTACTGGACAGGGGCTGGGCCCTCCAGCCTCCCTACTGCTACCTGGGCCTCTGCCCCGGCTGCAGTCCCGCCCCTGCTCACACTTGGGCCACAGGACTGACCGGCTGGCCTGGAGGTTGGGACCTCTGGCCTCCAGGGGCAGCCGGAAACGGTCCCAGGAGCCCGGGGCCACAACCCTGCAGCCTGGCCTGGGTACCCCATGGGAAAGCAGCCCCTGATCAGCCCCTACTCCCCGTGTGGCCACACGTCCTCCCGGTAGGCAGCCTGGGGCCTGACCACCCTCCAGGACACCACCCCAGCCGCTCCCATGCCCTCCCTGGGGCAGCTCCAGCACCCATGCCCACCCTCTGTGGCCTTTACGGTGGGGACCCCTCCGTCCTGGAAGGCCACAGAGCCGTCCCTCAGCCTGCTTTGCAGACGGGCACTCGAGGCCCCTCCCTGAGAGGCACAAGCTCTCAGCCCCCTCCCAGGCATGCTGGGCCCTCCGCTGCCCCCACCCCTCCCTTCTGGGCCAGGAGCCATTTGCATCCTTCTGTCTGCTCTTTGGAAGGCAGCCGGGAGCCTCTTGCCCAGAGATAGGGGTGGGTTTGTTTCCCGGACAGC